CAAATTCAAGCATTAGCACATTGCTAATTACTCCAGTTGCTTTTAATAAATTCTTTCCTGACATACGAGTTCCAGCACTGTAAAAAAAAGGAAGAATGTTGCATGAGGAAAAAACATTAAGGAAATTCTGCAGACTTTCGCCATAAGTAGAAAGCTTAAATACAATTGTAAGAACTCAAAGATTCACACAGGAATCTTACAGTCTCCCAGGTTCAACCCAAAGAGAAAACTCAGTTTATGAATTCACATATTTTCTTGAACAAAAATAGAAACCTGGCCATCCAAGCTATCTTTACTGAAAGACTTAACAAGCAGACAGGACTGTAAAACCTGCAGAGAGCTATAGAGATTTCTGTGGGTAATTTTAAATGTTGTTTTGTGTGTTACTGCTTCCAGTTTCCAAAATAAGCTCTGACCTTATTCACACTGAAATAACATTTGTGGTATCACATTCAAGTCCCTTTTATATTTATTTTAGGGGTGGAGCAAAATCTTCCCTCCTATTTCTTGGCAAAAGAGGTATTTGTGTTCTGCTGCAAATATTACATGATCAGAAGCATTTGGTTATCATGATCCAATTATACCGCCCAGCATTCTGTCTACTTTGATGCAGAGCAGACCAAAGTTTATCTGATCCTACATATTGGTCCCATGGTGGTTTCTTAGTTGCTCGGTGTAACAAAATACTGCAAAGGAGCGAGTTAATTTCTTGCTAGGTTTGCAATTTATTGTTAACAACCAGCATCACAAGATGCACCAACTATGCATGAAAGTTCATATCAACTGTAGGTTTTAAGATTAAACAAAAGGTTTACTCTAAAAAGGCTTTTTTTATTAGTCCTATCCAATGTAGGCAAAATAAAAATAAGAAAAGAAATAAAATCCTAACTTCATAGTAATGCCTTTAAAGGACGAGGCTGCATACTTTGCCCTATTTTCCAAATTATGTATTATGATAACTATTAGTTCCACACAGGAGCGTGTTTGCAGTCATTTAAAACAAGCCCACAGCGCTGATATAAATCAGTGTATGTATGAAGCTGGTATACCTGCATGTCTGCACACTGCCAGTTTGACAAGAAACAGATCTGAGGGGATTTCACCATAAAGGCAGGGAACCATGAAATATCTGAGAAGTGCTGGAACCGCTCTCCTCTCCAAATTATAGCCAAATACAGTCTTATTGGTTGAGGGGAAAAGCCTTGGCAGTGCATAAAGAGCTCAGTGTGTGGCTGAAGTGACCATGCAACTCCTGAAAATAAACAGGAATCAAATGGAGTGATTGATCGAATAAATTACTTTCAGCAGCAACCAACTCTCTCTCACACACACACAGACACACACAAAACAGATGCACATATACAAACTCTGTTAACCAGCTTTGCAGAAAAACACACACTTGTAGCGATTTGCTCCAGTATTCAGACCAGCTCCAGTTTTGGTATAGGCATGTTACAGAGCAGTGTGGTGGTGGTGAGGGGACAGTGGGGTGTTAGGTGATTAATATGGTACATCAAACTGTATGAGGCACAGAATGATTTTAATTGTAGGAATTTTTGTTTTGTTTTGTTTTGTTTTGTTTTGTTTTGTTTTGTTTTGTTTTGTTTTGTTTTGTTTTGTTTTGTTTTGTTTTGTTTTGTTTCATATACTTATCTGTCGAGTACGACATCTTGATTATTTTATGTGAGATCCAGGAAGGTAATCAACTGACAATATGGCAGACTTGTTGAATACTCAAAGCATTTTTTAGCCCATGGTTGATTACAATAATACCTTGATGTCTCAAAAGCTTTTACAACCTAAACAAAGCAAAATAATTAAGACCGAATCCTTTGCTTTTAGTTAACATTTATAGTTATTTATACTGCTGTCATAATAAATTCATAGAGGCCTACTATAGCTTGCGCTTCAAGTAAAAAAAGAAGGTGCTTGAGAAAATCTTTCCTATCTGATTTTGTTTATGCTGCTATGTGTGTGTGCACTCTGTGATGAATATCAACTGAAGGTGATGCTTGACTCACCTTTTAACTGCCATTTAAATTGCCAGGCCCGTATAGTGTAGGGAGGGCCTGAAATGTAAACCGTCCAATCTGATGAACCTGCCAACCGGTCAAAGCCTTTCATGAGATGAACACAGGAACCCCACACAAGCAAATTCACCCACCCCTCTCTGCCCCGCCCCTCAATGACGACCCCCTCCTTGTTGCTTGCATGTGTGGTTTAGTGAAATCTCCTCCTTGTGCTATAGGATAGCCCTAGCCTCTAGGGTAACAAGATAGATGTAAACAACCAATTATTGGATAGGCCCTCATTCACGTCCCCTTAACCAGTATAGACACAGAGGTTCTGGCTTTAATAATTTCTTTCCCTCTATCTAACATTTGGATGTCTTTCCCAAAAAACTGATACTTATCAAGCTTGTGTTGTGCTTGTCTCAGGTCAGTGTATTCAGCAGCAGTCTTACCCAATCCAAGCCACATCCTATTCCTGTATACGTTAACACAGTCTATACAACACACGCACACACATACATGCATACATCTTGCAATAATCAGCTCAATTAGAGGAGGTCGTGGTGGAGAGTGGCTGAGGTGAGCAGTGGGAGGCTGTGAAAATAGGGGGTTGGCTATTAGGAGAAACATGATCTCTATTCATCAGCAGCTGTAATAATTACCATTTCAGAAACAGATCCTTCTGATCAAACTGATCCCTGGAAACAAGTGGTTTACAAACACTGTCAAGAGCCAGACATTGGACCCCTGTCACTGCCAATATATAGACACAGATCTGACCTGGCCAATCCCACTGCGATGAAGATACTTTGTATATGCAGTCATATTGTCAGTGCTTGTTTAACTCTACTCTGATTTGGCTATGGACATTTCTAATCGTTAACCTATCAAATGCACAGTGAATAAGATGTAACAGGCATTTTCAAAAATAACAAATATCAGTGTGAGCAGGAGCATGTCAAAAACACAAGTGGGACAGTTAGATTATCTGAAAGAATTTCATGTCAAAGATCTGATACCATGTAAACTTATTTTGACAGAGATGGGAAATTAGACTGAATACCTGTAAGAAGGTATGATCATATGAGAGTAACACAAAGACTTATGATGAACTGAACTGAACAGGTGCTCACATGTAGCCTCAGACCTTATTCTCGTTAAATCTTCAGTGCTGAAGTTTAAGCTGAGATCAAGACATTTGAGCAAAAAAAAAAAAAAAAAAAAAAAAGCGAGAGAAAGAGAAAATAAAAAGAGTTCAGTAGGGAGCATCATCAGTCTGTAAGGACAAGGGAACAAATTATTTAGCCTCATCACAAATATTTGAGTGTACAGAGTAACTTCTTTGGATTGCTGCCGGTGTAATCGCAGCAGCACATTCGCCACTGGGAGAACCTCGATCATCAAACTCGATTACGGGGCATTTGGGTGTTTGCGTTAGATGAGTTGAGATGATAAGCTTTATCTGAAATCGGTTTAAAATTTCATATCAGTCAAATTTTGTTTACAGGCCTCACAATGATTTTTATTAATAGTCTGAATTAAAAGTGCAAGCGCAGGGTGAAGTTAAAAAAATATATAAATATAATTATAATTTAAATATAATATATTTAAACTATTATTATTATTATTATTATCGGTGCTGTGCTTTTGGAAACCGAATTTCCCAGAGGAACCCACCCGAGAGATTAATAAAGTTTTATCTTATCTTATCGTATCTTATCTTATATTATTATTATTATTATTATTATTATTATTATTATTATTATTATTATTATTATTATTATTATTATTATAAGTTTAAATTGCCCTTTTAATTTTCTCACTATCCAGGCGAGCCAGGTCGGTGCCGGTCCCCTGACGATTACCGTCAGTCAGCCTAATGCCGTAATACTCTGAGAACTGGGCTTCAGGCGAAACCAAAGTCAATTTATTAAACTGAGGGAGGACACAGGGCGGAAACAGGAATGAGGTTTCTCTTACAGGAGCCTTCGTCTGTGGTGATGAACCAATTTCACAATTACACTATTAATTTAATAATTTATTAATTTAATTTTTAAAAAAGAGAAAATAACAGAAAAACAGCAGCGACTGCGATGCCTCACTGCCTTAGCGAGAAATATTGACAATGGATTGGATGGATGGTGGACTGTGGATTGGGTAACTTACTTAAATGATTTCGACCGACAATACCATTTTAATTTTACATGCCTGCGATTTAGGGTAGCTGCTGTAATTTATTTGCAACCTTTCCAAAATTCTAAAATTCAAGTAGGCCTATGACGAAACTGCTCCTATTTAATCATATTACAACAACAAAAAAAATAATAATAATAATAATAATAATAATAATAATAATAATAATAATAATAATAATAATATAATAATAATAATAATAATCTCTCCGAGCTTTTTAGTTCTACACTGATAGTATATGATGAGGACATGAGGATGATGATGGTGTGTGTGTGTGTGTGTGTGTGTGTGTGTGTGTGTGTGTGTGTGTGTGTGTGTGTGAAGTGATGTGACACCGAGTGTGGGTGTACTTGACAATCGTATCTCTAATGAAGCGGTCCCATGGTGAGGCGATAGAAATCTACCAACTGGTCAATCTTTGGTTCAGCAGTCAGTAACACGCACGCATGCCCTCGTGTACCTGAGTCCAACTACAAACCTGAGTTTTTGCGCACATCGGGCTGCTCCCGGTTTCTTTTAGGTCGCCCTATCATTTCAACAAGTACCTCACATCACTCACTTCTCCTCAGTTAACTATAAAGCCTCCTCTCCTTTTACCCTTAAACACCTTTCACTTTCACATAAGCTCCCCTCCTTACAGCCATACTCTCAAAAAAAATGTAATCGTCATATTAAAATGATTACTTAGGTCTTGTCTTCAGATCTAATATGTCAATCCTTGAGATAATTTACTCGCTGATGCGCTAAACCTCGTGAGTCAGATGACTGAAATACGGACGAAAATATTTGTCTCACCGGTGTGCTGATTGGAGCCGTTTTTCTTCTTCGATGTCGCCTGCCAGACTTTCCTTCTTCTCCGCTCTTTGTCCCGCACACTCCACTGCGCACACGACCACCTTATTTCCCCATGAAGCGGCTGCACACCTTGAGATTGTTTGCCAATCTGTGCGCTCCTGCAGCTGCTTCCTCGCCACTCATTTAGATATTCATAATCTTTGTCATCACATGCATAATCCAGTTCAGCTCAACACATACTTCGCAAAACAATTAAAAGATTTCTTTAGTTGCTATTAATATAGAAATTTCATGTTTATTTAGGTCTAAAACTGATACGACGTATTTGAGAGTATGACAAAGTCTACTTGTTTAACAGATAACTTTTTAAACTTTATTCTAACGTCTTTTTGTTATTTTAAATACCTCTCTATAGAATACCGGTTTGTGAATATTATAATTAACAAATCGGGTGATGGTTCACTGCACTCCCACATCAGCACCTCAGAGTTTAAGTCTCGTTTCAATCCTCGGGAGCAGAAATAGTCTGACTCACTTTTGGTCATATTTATATTTTTTCGTTTACTAGAAGAAAAATATACTTTATAAAGAAGTGGCAGCATTTTTTTTTTCAAACCCGTCTAACAATCTGTCACTTGTTGACAGTTATTTCACGTCTTTGGAATTATGAAGACACTAACTTTAAAGTTCCACGCATTAAGGAGATCTTGATTGATTTGTGAGAGCTGCCAGGGACATGAAGACAAACTGCAGCAGGCTCCGTGCACTCTGGCGCCATCCTTCCCCGGGCTGTGGGATCAACGCCGCTCTTCTCATCCACGCTCCTCACAGCTTTACGCTCTTTGGCTGCCTGAGGTGTCTGTCAACGTGAAGGGCAAGAAAAAAGTGTTTTAGAAGGAAAAATCTGAGCAATTCTTCTATTGGTAGGCGGGCTGGTCGTGAAGGGAACAATCAGGTTGATTTTGCCAGGGAGCCACCTCAAAGCATATCGGGTTACTTTGAGTGACAGCGTAACCATGGCAAATAATTTGACTAAGGCTATTGTCTTATCCTCACCATCCGTGGGTCAGATAACCGACCAATCAGAGTTCATATAATCGCTTGTCTTGCCAGCTTAGAATAATATTATTAAAACGAGCCAGCGAGCCCGGTCTCCGGGAGTAGTTTATGTTGAAACGGCATAGAAAAGGTGGAGGACGGTGGAAGGAGTAGCAACTTTCTTTCTTAGCAACTTTATGGAGAATAGTCGCCTGGGGTTTCGCATGGCTGAACGGACTTAAGCTTATTCCATAATACGCAGTTGGACTTTGCCTAACGTTGGGCACTTTTACGTTTTAGGTAACTCTTTTGGGGACTTTTTGACGCTTATGGACTTAATGCGTTTTGATTTAATGAGACACTGAGAGGAGAGACGTGGAAGTAAGGTACAATATAATCTGTATTGGTTTACTTGTCGCCATGTCCATGCTTCCGACGTTTGGTTTTACGCAAGAACAAGTGGCTTGTGTCTGCGAAGTCCTCCAGCAAGGGGGGAACATCGAGCGTCTTGGGCGCTTTCTGTGGTCCCTCCCGGCGTGTGAGCACCTCCACAAAAATGAGAGTGTTCTCAAAGCGAAAGCCGTAGTTGCTTTTCATCGGGGGAACTTCCGAGAGCTCTACAAGATCCTGGAGAGCCACCAGTTTTCGCCGCACAACCACCCGAAGCTGCAACAGCTGTGGCTCAAAGCGCACTACATCGAGGCAGAGAAGCTGAGAGGCCGTCCGCTCGGCGCCGTAGGGAAGTACCGCGTCCGGAGAAAGTTCCCCCTGCCCCGCTCTATCTGGGACGGAGAGGAGACGAGCTATTGCTTCAAAGAGAAGAGCAGGAGTATCCTCCGAGAGTGGTACACCCACAACCCTTATCCATCCCCACGGGAGAAAAGAGAGCTGGCCGAGGCCACGGGACTCACGACCACGCAAGTCAGCAACTGGTTCAAAAACCGACGGCAGAGAGATCGAGCGGCTGAGGCAAAGGAAAGGTAGGAGTATATTTACTTCTTAAAACAGACGCTAATCTCAGATTAGATTATCTTTTTTTTTTTTTTATCATTGTCACATCAAGCAAAACATAGGAGGTAGTTCCAAACTGTTGCTGAGTCACGGACTGCCACTGCTGACTCTGTATGCAAAAATAAATTTCTGACCTACATCTGGAAATTTATTTAACGTAGATAGCATGGACATATTCTCAGATCTTATTCAATCGCCACAAATTAAAGTTACACTGTGTGTATTTCTGTGATAACTGTATAAGCCCCTATTAAAAGTTGAAATGCACGAAATGAAAGACGTGTTGTCAGGTAAATTACAAGGTTATAAAAGTTGCTTTTACCCCACTTTAATGTTTTAGTAACCACACTGATTATAACATGAAACTTGATTTTCACGTTAAGATTAGAGAAGAAATATATGCAGACTACTGTGAATCACAGACACTGGATGAACACATGGTATATGCAAGGAAACATATCAGAACACGTATGAAAGATGTTTTGCGGTGTAATTGATGTGGCCTGTTGTCTGGCCTTCATATCAGCCAGGCTGACATTTCATTATGAGTCGTTTGCACATTTCAGAGTTTGGAAATTATACAGCCAGGCATGTAGAGAGGTGCGGGAGATGTGTTTTTGTCAGGTGTTCACTGGGTCGGTGTCTTCTTTCACCCCCTGGCCACTAATTTGGGCTGAAAGCTCCACGTAAATCATGTCTTCCCACTGAGAAAAGCCTCACAGCAAACCTATGAACTATGCCATACGCAGTACGCACGCGTTTCAGAATGATTAGGCCTGTCATTTATTTAGAGCTGTGGACAAGCTCTCCTCGAGTGGCCGAGGACTTCCTCAGGTTGAGCTTCTCCACAGGTCACTATGGTTAAATTAACTTGCTCTAAAAGTTCCATGCAAGTTCAGTAGTCAGATGGATTTATTATCTTCCAGTCACTCTCTACTACTGATATTTAACATAGCGCTTCTGTAGTGAATTGAGCCTCTAATTATTTTTGCTGGCTAAGTGATTGCATCTGGGCGCACGTGCCTCAACGTATTCTCGTGTGAACATTAATAAATAACCAGACTAAGAACTGATACATTAATGAGATTATTATGGCTGTTGTAAAAGTGTCACAACCCAATAAATATTCTAGTAAACACAACAGAATTGTGTGTGCCACTTTAATTCAAGTGTGTGTTCATTTTCATATTTTTAATGCAATCTTAAACATGTTAAGCTACAATTAGCTGGTGTCTTTGTTCCTGTAGGTTTTACTCCGAGATATGAAAATTTCAGTTTACCTAAATCTTCCTGGTTATTATGCACTTTTTCGCAGATGTGCTGTAATTCCGCATTTGTACCAAACTGATGTGTGACTTTGGTTTCTGTTCGCAGAGAAAACAACGAGAACTCCAACGGCAACAGTCACAACCCATTGACTTCTTCTATTAATGGAAATAAAACTATTTTGGGGAGCTCGGACGACGATAAAACACCTTCTGGGACTCCGGATCATACGTCTCCGAGTCCGGCTCAGCTCCTCGGCGCAAACCCCGGTTTACCGTCCCTGCATGGCCTTGCGCCCCCGCCGGGACCCAGCGCAATCCCGGTACCCAGCGGCCCAGACTCGATGCACCATCACCACTCATTGCATCATGACACCATACTGAACCCTATGTCTTCTAATCTAGTGGACCTCGGCTCTTAAAAGCCGTCACTGAATGGAGCGCCATTTTTTGGGGAAAATAATTTACGAGGTGGTGTGAGTTAAGCTTCAAGCACTTGCGGCACGGTGCAAGGCAGACAGACTGGGACACTGCGAAAACAGCCACCGTAACAAATCATTTAGTCTCATATTCAGCCTTTAAAATCTTTTTCAACAAGTGGAGAGAGGAAAACCTGCCAGTGAGCGCAACACCTCCTCTTATCCCCAAACTGAACGAGCCCTTGTTTCGGGGATTTTCTAGAATCAAGAGTTCAGAGCAGAGCACTTAAGAACTTTCCAAATATACTTAAACAGGACCCTACCGAACTTTTTCCCCCGTTAATTCGCTTGAGGAAAATATAATTTGGAAAAAGTAAGTAAAAGTAGTAGTTTTTTGAGATGGCTTGTTTTGCTGCAGGGCTGGGGATAAAAAATTGATAAAAAAAAAAAAGAAAGAACAGAAGAAAAGAAGGAAGGAAGAAAGAAAACTTTACCGGAATGTAAAAACGTAATATGTTATATTGTTGAAAACAATAACAATAAAGTGTCTTAATTCTTGTTACTATTAGCCTACAGTTGTTATTTTAGGGGTTTAGATTAACCTTTATCACCAGACTCTATGGGCACAAAGTTACGGGTACCCATCGCCTTTCTGTTTACATGGGGTTTTTAAAGAGAGCCATAAACGGTTATTTTTGTTTGTTTGTTTGGGGGAGGGTGGGCTGATGGAGTATGCCAGTTAAACGTGTCTCATAGGGGCTGTGATACGATAAAATATTCTAACCCCTTGATATTATTGTTATAATTATTTGCATTTTAATTTGGGGAGAGACTGCATGTAAACTCTGCGATAAATGATGAAACATAAAACGATTCACCTATAGTTTCATATACCCTTTACAATAAAAAAAAAAAAAGAAACACGTGGAATAAAGTCGAGAATTTCTTTGATTCTGAATGATTCTTGACATTTTCTTGGCATTTTTTTGTCTCTTACGGGTCACCTCCTTATAATATTATAAAACCATATAAGCTGGAGGACAAAATATATAAAACGTATTTTAGAGAATCTGCACGTAAACGTCGATGTTTACAGTGTTACAGAAATATTGCTTGAACGATAGTATTTAGGATTTATGATAATTTGTAGTTTCAGTTGAGGATACTTAGATATTTTTCCCTTCAGCTCATTTATGTAATTTTAAATGCAGAACAACGCACAAACCATGTATTCGGCCTTATTTCCTCAGGCTTTTTAAATGTGCTCTGAGCCACCACTTCCCAACGTTAGGAAAATACATGATCAGATATTACTGAAAATCAAAAGCTGTTAGCCTCTGACACATATATCTCCTGCAAGAAGATAGATAGATAGATAGATAGATAGATAGATAGATAGATAGATAGATAGATAGATAGATAGATAGATAGATAGATAGATA